AAAAAAAAAAAAAAAAAAAACAGAGAAGCGGATAGATTTTATTTCTTTGAGAAAACCACTCGTTTATTTCGATTATTAAAATGAAATTTTTTTCCCCACACAATCATTACGTTAACAGCTCGAGCAAGGTCTGTATTTTATTTCAGTTTCATTTAACCAAATACTTAGGCTGTATTTTCTTACTAATGTTTCGAAGTGTTTCAAGGTATCATATGCCATTCGACTCCGTTACTTTTGATAACTAATCATTTTATCAATTTTCTATGTTTTCTAATTACAGGGCTGCAAATAACAGTCCGTCATCGGACATTGGCCAACCAAAATTTGCTCGTGTCCGACAAATTCCCAACTGTGATTGGACATGATGTCCGGACAAATTTTTTTATCCTAAATCATTTACAGTAAGGATGAATAAAAATCTACCTTGAGTAAATCTTACTTTTTTTGGTGATGTCCGATCACAATAAGAATTTGTTTTGTCCGAACAAGATGGTGTCTTAGTAGTCCTTTCAAGAGAAAAAAAATTATTTGCAGCCCTGTAATGACCATCAAATTACTTGCCGATTGCAATTTTTTTGTGAAGGTCTTGTTGTCACGTTCTCTATGATAATCTCATCTATTTCGCGATTTACTCCGTTCTCTTAACACGCTAAAAATACAGATGTTTAAGGCATTCAACCGAGCTAACTAGCTCGCGCTCCTGAGTGGCGTTACAGTACGTCACTTAACGTCCTCAACGAAGAAGTTAACTTTTTGTCTTTTTCCATGTTCAGTTTCATCCACTCCATGTAAAAATGTTTGAAGTTGCCAGAATAATCATAAGTTTACAAAGAAGACCGTACTTACCTAATTCTATTGACAAGCGAAAAATGAAAAACTGAACCAATAAGAATCGCTCAGTGTATTCATTACCGTTGGATAAATGCATGATCAACACGAGCCTTCAAAATTTTGCTAAAAGAGTAGAACAATGGGAAGTATAACTAACTAAACTGTCCCTGGATTCAGTTGATAATCGAAAAGTAGATATAGCTAAGTGCATGACCACTACAAATAAGATTTATTTACATTACATTATTTTAGATAGGTATTTTATTGTGTGTTTTCGCTACAAATCATTTAAGAGCGTCTTTTAATTGTTTTGCAATTTCTACACGAGCTTCCAAGCAGATGTCACTGAGGGTAACCTAGAAATTGACGGCAGAGCAAGCATCCTCTTCCCTTGCATTTGCTCCATGGTAGTAGGTTTGTTACCTTGGGTTAAGAATATGGGTGAAGTAGCTGGACAGCAGCAAGCCGGGCTCAGCGGTGATGCTGAGTTGTCGATGCTATAATCTTTCTTTACAGGGAGAATAGGAGTCCTTTTTTCCTTTCTGAACTTTGCCCTCCTGTTCTTAAACCAGATCTGTAAAAAGAAAATGAAAATAGCAGCAATATAAATTGAAGTTGATTGTCTTGCAACTTTAACAAAAAGCGTTCAACTACTCTGGCTAAAAAGAAACCAGCAGCAAGTAGACAATAACAGCATCCACATATTCACAGCTCAGTCCAAACTACGGACCATCGTCGAGGCGTGGCTGGGGTAGGCAGTGCAGTTCTTGAGCTATTGCTTACTATATAAATGTCAGACCTAAATGTATGACGCTAACCCTAAACCCCTTTTCAGGGAAACACTTAACTGTGTATAACCTTGGGGTTGAGAAAGCTAAATAAACAGCCGTAGCGGGTTAGTGAAAAGGAGGTTTCCAGCGTTAGCCCTTCGTCAGAGGATACTATAAGGGATAACCTTTGTCAACTTCAAGATGAACAGTTAAGTGTTTCACTGGCCCGTCTACCAACAGTTTTTTTCGAATGTTACACCTTTTAAAGTGATATTGATTCGTTTCCCCCTGGTTCCCGTTCCTCTTATGGTTCCCTATGACAGTATGTCTATTCAAGACTGCCAGAATAAATAAGTAGGCATTTAACACCAAATAAATATTTAACTCAACATTTACAGACATCTTTCCCGATAGCTTGTGAAGTTGAAAATCGCGAGCATGTCTGCTTGACAATTTATAGTGATAATGTAAAGACAGTTATTCCTCAAACCTGTATTGTAGAGTCTGGCAAGCTGGTCCATTCGTTTAGCTGTTCCCGCATCACCACATCAGGGTAATGAGTGTGTGAAAACACGTTCTCCAAGGTTTTCAGTTGATACTGAGTGAACGCCGTGCGAGTTCGCCGACGTTTCGGTCCCCCGCCTTCTGTATTGTTCTTGGCATCCATTATCACGTCTGAGAAAATGGTAGTGGAAGATCAGAGTTATAATTGTGTA